ATAGTTAACCTAAAGTGTTTATTTCTTAATGATTAGTGAAATGCAGTAGAATTATACAAAGTTCACTCTCTTCAGAGTTCCCATTCTTCAGAAGGTTCTGCTGTACCATTTAAACTTATGTTTCTTTTTTAAATATAAAAATATAAAAGATTTTAGGCTTCAAGCTTTTAAAAAATATGATGTTAAATGTTAAACTTCCAAGTCTCTGTGAGGTTATGTATAAAGTTTAGATAATCTAAAAAGAAGTCTTAAATATGAGGGAGACTTTTACTTTAGGAATCGAAAGCAGAAAATACTAAACTGTTAAAGAGATAAAGCTTCAGTTATTAAAATAGAAATCTAAACACAACATTTAATTTTTATGGAGACTTTTAGGGAGGAAATAAGAGTACAGGCATTGAGAGGTGCTTGATTGATTCCAATGAGAGGAATCTTCATTGACTATTTTTTGAAATTGTACTAGTCATTAACAATATAAGGTCAAAGAGAGATCAGTCAGTGAAAAACACAAGTACAAATTCCGTACTTCATTTTTTTTTCATTTTAATAAAGGAAGAACACCAAAGAAAACACAATCCTCTGGTGATAAATATTGCTCTACATTTACTGTAATCTTTGGAGAAAAGGATATTTGCATGGACTCAAAGTGTCATGCCTAATATTTATTAAACCTAAATATTAGGTTTAATACCTAATATTTGAATGATTGGGAAAGAAAATAAGAAATTATATCTCACAGGTTTGAAAGAAACAATGCTTACAGAATCAATGTAAGCCAGCTTATTTTTTAAAATAAGGCAAAGGATAAAATTTTTCAAAAGCTATAATTTCATAATGTGCAATTAAATTAATTATTAAATTTCTGTTGTCATTGGCATTACACCATTATGAAATGAGGTGCCTCTCTCATATTTGTATGTTAAAATTAAGTATTCATTTAGATCAGAGGTAGACAAATCATGGTCCATGGCATATTATATTAGTCCAAATGAATAATTGCTTTGTATTTTTAAAGGGTTATAACAAGAAGGATATGCAACAGAGACCAGGTGTGACCCACAAAACCGAAAATGTTTACTCTCTGGCATTTTACAGAAAACCTTTGCAGACTCCTGACTTAGACAAATGCCTTATAATTTTATTCTGAATTAAGATGACTCTACAAACAGTTGTCTTTAAATAAAAAGACATTTTACAATTATTATGTTCTCTTTCTTTAACTAGAGTGTGTACTTTCATCCTTTTCCTTATTTTTCAAACTTTGAATTAGAGTTCCGTTACTAGGTTATATATTGTAACTCAGAGGTTGCCAGTAAGTTCAAGACACTGCTTTCCTATATGCTTGGACTAGTGTGGAGTAATACTGCTTAAGTCAAAGTCAGGCACTAACCACTACTTCTTATAAGTATTGTTCTTGTTTCACAAAACAAGCCCAGACAGTAAAAGGAAATGATGTCATAAGCATTGCCATTTGTAATTTAGGTGATACTAACTGATGGTTATGGTGAAACTTCTCATATTTAACTTCTAATATTGGAAAAATCAAATGTCTATTTTATTTCTTTCTATTCATGGAACATTCCGGACTGCAAATTTTTATCCTTATGTACCCTAACAATGTGTTAGGTCCTGTTACTTTTCGTGTTGTTGTTAACATTAGAATTTAATCTTTGGTTATATATTTGACTAAAGCACCTAATACCAAAGAAAGTGTTACTGGAAAAGCAAATCCAGGTGTTTCCACCCAGTCAGTATAAAAAAAAAATTGTTTTTTCATACTCCCAAAGGCACATACATCATAACACACAAAAACACCTATAGGGTAGATATTTAACATGTTTTAGATAAATGGTAGTACACAATTATATTTTTATGTAGCATTTTTCACACTTCATAAATCCAGTATATCCTAAATAAAATGTGGGCTGTGAGTTCATTTATTTTAATTTAACCTCCACTTCCATTTTTTTTACTTACACTACGTGATGCTAAAATGCATGATTATTTCTTAGATGAGATTTCACAAAAGAAGCCAAACCTCTTTTCAGTTGGTTGGGCAATAATTCCTGTTATAGGAATTTTAAATCTGAATTTTCCCCCATGATTTCTTATTCTGAATTCCAGGTATTATCTTAAATTTGATCAGTTCTAACCTTGCCCCTTCTCACCTCTCTAATGAATGGTGAAGCTCATCACATCTTACCGATATCCATAAACAAGGGGTAGCAGCAGTCTCATATAGTAAATACTGTGGAATAGTTTTGTCATAGTTATTGCTTTTGTCCTATTTTTGTCTCCATATTCAGGCTGCCTGGACAACAGCTCTGGCTCTGGATGTAAAAGTCCGGTGGGAGGGTTTCAGGGCTGCCTGAGGCTCATCACCATTGGTGACAAAGCGGTGGATCCCATCTCAGTACAGCAGGGGGCGCTGGGGAGGTTCAGGGACCTCCAGATAGACTCCTGCGGCATCACAGACAGGTAAGGGCCATCCTAGGTCACTTTAGCTTACCTGTTTTCAAAGTTGAAGAAAGCAAATGTAGACAGCTGGAAAAAGGCATTCTGTTCTCTTTTTTTTTGTTGTTGTTGTTATCTTTCTTTCCAGAGGGAATGAAATAGTCATAATTACTATGAGGATTAGAAAACTGCATCTTGGCTGGGCACAGTGGCTCACGCCTGTAATCCCAGCACTCTGGGAGGCGGAGGCGGGTGGATCACGAGATCAGGAGATCAACTTCATCCTGGTTAAC